CTCTCTTCGTGGTCCTTCGAAGAGTGAAAGGATCTCGTAAATCGTACGATTCGTTTTGCGTCCTTCGGAGCCTAATGTTCTGCCTCTCTCTCTCTCTCTCTCTCTCTGTTCCCTTTCCTTAGTCATCCCATCCTCTCGGGAGAACTGCAAAGCCTCGCTCGGTGTCACGCGAGGATAAGAAGGGTAAATCAGCCCCAGGCACTCACCTTAACGAAAGTAAACGTGCTCATTTTCCAAGTACAAGATGTCCCTAAAACAGCCTCTGTTCGGCTATTTTCGGTTGACTGTAATATGAGAAAGTCATTAAACCGATTCGAAATTTTATGGGTCCTTGAAACTTTAGAAACAGATAATATATCTCATTTATATATTTGCATATAATTTCCATAAAATTGAAGGTAGAAGTGAAATATGTGCATAATTTTTTTTTATTATACCGAATCGATTATTAAAACGTTTTATATCAATTTTATTGAACAAAGATATATAAACAAGGGAAATTACTGTTGGAAGAATTTATATACTAGGAGAGTTTTTATTATAATAATTGTGAAAGAGAGAAACAAGGTATTCCTTATATAAGTTATCACATTTTCCTTTCTCTTTTAAATTAATTTTTCTGATTTATATATATATACATATATAAAGTGTTTTTACGAACATTGCAAAGTGTATAAAATATAATACGATGTGATGCGTAAAGTGTAACAATGTTTTTTATTTAAACAAAAACCTTTTCTATCTCATTTTTTATAATAATGATATCAATACATCTCTTTTGTGAGATGATGCTAAATTAAAGGGAAGCCATTAAATACAATAGATAAATAGTAAATAGAATACATTTAACATCCAGCAGCTGACGATTTTACTTAAAGAATTGCTTAACGATTTACTTTGTTACGATCTCGGGATGAGAAATGATCGAGGGTTCTTTGGTCGAGAAGAGAACAGAGAGAATTTAGTTAATCGGGGAAGAAAAACATGTCGAGCAAAGGGTGAAGAATAAGTGCAGACGGAAAGAGATAGAAATACAAGAGAGGCATCTATTACTAATACTCGCAGCGAGCGAATCAATAGGCTCCTCGTAAAGAGATCTTCAGTAAAAACACGTCGAAAGCGAGGTGTTATTCTCCATGATCTCGTAATTGGAAGAGAATTGCGGCTCTCGAGCGCAAACTTCCGATTTTGAATTATTCCGGAATAGAGTATATAGTGACGGCGTATTAAATTCCTCTTTAATCCCGTGTTTTCTCCCGAGTGTAAGAGCCTCGGATCGCGCGAAAAAAAAAAAAAAATATATATATATCGACGATAAAACGACCCGCCGTTCATTCTCGTTATCCATGACAAATAATAATCCCGTACCGCAATGTCCGATGTATAAACCGAGAAAAAGACCGCTGAAACGAATATATATATCATATATATATGTGTATACATATACATGCCATATCCGTTCTATATCGCGCCGGCGTTACCGAAACACGACACACGCTGCAACCCACAATCAAACTGCGAAGGGAAGCGTCATCGTAAGAAATATTAAGGGTCGGTGAAAAAAAAAAATAGCTCGCGCCGGATATTCGAATGGTTCATAAAATACGATGGTTGAATTGGCCCGAATTCTATGACGCGCGCCGGAACGGCGATGTGAAAAATGTTCCGCGCGATCGAAATGAAACGATCGCATTATTACTTGGGTGTGGTGGAAGTTATGCCGGGAGAATTTTGTTCGGGTTCGCCGCGAGAGAAGACTTTTTGCTCTTACGAAGCTTCACGTTCGATCTTTAGAGTTTTCCGTCTTGACGAATGTATCGATGACTTGTCAATTTCGAAATTTCGGTACAGTTTTTTAAAACAATAAAAATACAAATCAACGCGCTCGTGTAAAATTTAAAATTAATAAAACATAATGTCGACATATATGTCTTTAAAGAAAAAAAAATGGCGACGTAGATTTAATACAATATATTTTTTAAAAAGGTCGAATTGCGGTTATAAAAACAGAATCTAAGAAATACATAATTTCGTGCATATAGTTTTCATGATTTGTTCTGTTTTCTTCCCGTTAAAAATTTGAAATATATAAATTCCAATCAAATATTTATACCAAATATATGTCTTTAAAAAAAAAGTAGGCCAAATATACGAGTCAGAATAATTTAGATGTAAGAATAATTAAAAATTATTTATTCATAATATAAATGTAGACGTTTCGATTTTACTAACAAGTCTTTATCAATACAATTAACCGCATGTATAAAATTATAAAATATAAAAAAGAAATTTGGATTGTTTAGAATTTTAAAACAATAAAAATACAAATCAACGCGCTTGTGTAAAATTTAAAATTAATAAAACATAAAATGTAGGCCAAATATACGAGCCAAAATAATTTAGATGTAAGAATAATTAAAAATTATTTATTTATAATATAAATGTAGACGTTTCGATTTTACTAGGTCTTTATCAATACAATTAACCGCATGTATAAAATTATAAAATATAAGAAAGAAATTTAAACATAATCTCGCAAGCTATGTAAAGACGAAACTTCGATTATCATTCGATTTAATTACAATGGTTGAAACAATTATTCTTAGATGTCTAGTAAGGTCGAAACGTCTAACATTTATATTATGAATAAATAATTTTTAATTATTCTTACATCTAAATTATTTATTCGTATATTTGGCCTACTTTTTATGTTTTATTAATTATAGAATTTTAATTCAATTTTTATTTCCATACCTCAATTAAGATAATATTAGGAATATATGTCTTTAAAAAAAGAAGGAAAAAATGGCGACGTAGATTTAATACAATATATTTTTTAAAAAGGTCGAATTGCGGTTATAAAAACAGAATCTAAGAAATACATAATTTCGTGCATATAGTTTTCATGATTTGTTCTGTTTTCTTGCCGTTAAAAATTTGAAATATATAAATTCCAACCAAATATTTATACCAAATATATGTCTTTAAAAAAAAGAAAAAAATGGCGACGTAGATTTAATACAATATATTTTTTAAAAAGATCGAATTGCGGTTATAAAAACAGAATCTAAGAAATACATAATTTCGTGCATATAGTTTTCATGATTTGTTCTGTTTTCTTTCCGTTAAAAATTTGAAATATATAAATTCCAACCAAATATTTATACCAATATATATGTCTTAAAAAAAAGGAAAAATGGCGACGTAGATTTAATACAATATATTTTTTAAAAAGGTCGAATTGCGGTTATAAAAACAGAATCTAAGAAATACATAATTTCGTGCATATAGTTTTCATGATTTGTTCTGTTTTCTTGCCGTTAAAAATTTGAAATATATAAATTCCAACCAAATATTTATACCAAATATATGTCTTTAAAAAAAAGAAAAAAATGGCGACGTAGATTTAATACAATATATTTTTTAAAAAGATCGAATTGCGGTTATAAAAACAGAATCTAAGAAATACATAATTTCGTGCATATAGTTTTCATGATTTGTTCTGTTTTCTTGCCGTTAAAAATTCGAAATATAGATTTCAACCAAATATTTATACTGGTAACCTACTGTTTGCGAGCGTACGCTGAAAAATGAAAACTTGTTTTAGTTTATCCCGTACAGCACAGCTTTTCTAGCCGTATGAGAAGTATTTTCCTGGGAAGCGCGACATTTTCAAGAAATTACCCTGCGCAATTTTCTATCTTTTGCTCGTATTTTTTACTACCTGGACGGAAAATGTTTTTATATTTTTCTGACAAATTTATGCTACGACATGGACTGATACAATGTCAGCTTTATTCAGTATTGGATGACGATAAAGTCTATAAATTCCATTCATAATAAATATATCTTCAAACAAAAGTATATTTATACTTTTATAGTTATATAATTTACCTAGATTTTATTTAGTTATAATTTATTATTTATATCTTAATTATAGGCGATTTTTTTTCTTACAAATTTAGAATAACATTTTTTGAATTTGTTAATTAGTTTTGATTAAATACAATTTAATTGCTTTGATTTGATTACAATATTAGTTTTAAACTATCAATAAATAATTTATGAAATGTATACTTACAAACATATTTATTAATTACACACCTATTTAGAATATTGATTATAATAACCTTAATAAAATATTAATGATTTTCTAGAAATAGAAACAACAAATATACTGCAAAATATATGATTAAGTATATTTATATTATAATTACGTTACATCACATCTCTTTACTCCTCGTCAGATATAACATCTTTCGAAATTTCTTTAACGCGAGCATAGAAAATTGCGAAGCTATATATATTATAGATCGCACAACTCCGCCTTTAAATTCCGCAACATATTTCGTGAAAAAGTCATTATCTGTTATACAAATTTTTGCAATATTCAACATAAATTATCTTTATACCTGAATCTCAAATTGAAGTTCTGAAGAAAAAGGATTACTTTAATTTAAGCGAGCAAAAGAGAGTCATTCTTTATTCATTTCAGAAGAGTGATTAATTAGAGAAGCTTTCTCTACTTTCGCCGCGTAATTCAGGAAAAAAAAAAATATAAATGCGATTGAAAAAAATTAAAAACCAAAAAAATAGAAATCAAAAAAAATTCGACGCAATCTCTTTTCGAGAACACGGCGAAAATGAAAAAACCGAAAAGAATTCTCAAGCATACCGCGCATACTAATCCGAAAAAGGCTGTTACGACGCAAAAATAGAAAGGGGTGGAGATAAGTGGAGATGGACGGTGTTACATGCATACACGGTATATAAGGACGCGAAGAGCGCGAAAGAAGAGTGGCGGTTTCCACCCTCGTCAAAAAAGATGAAGTCAACGCGGTTTTGGGGAAGGGATGAGAGCGAGAGAGAGTAGCTGCACAAGCCGCGAGGACTCGAACGGGGATGCGAGAACGGGGGGTGGTTGGGGGGGAGGGGGAGGTGCGTTCTTTAAGGTAGGGGGCATGCGCGGCGTCCGGGGGTGCAGAGCGGTTCTCGGAGGTTAGTCGCCCGCCAACATCACGACGTGTCGCTCGCGCCTCGCGAACGTCGGATTTACACGCAACTCACCCTACCACCCTACGTCGCGTCATCGCGCTGTCACTCGTCGGTGTCCGCGTCGATTCCGATCGAGAAGAAAGTCGTGAATCCGGAAGTGAATTTTGCGAATTTTTTGCCGGTAATATAATTCGGGTTTTAATTTCAAAACCCCGTCACAACATTTGTATTTTTTTCCCGAAGTGCGGCATTAGTGTATTACTCTAATAATGTGCTCCGATCGACTCGTTAAAATACGGATCGCGCGATCGCGAATTAACGACGATTGATCGAATGGCGGGTTCGTTCGATTTTTGACGTGTCCGATCGGAGCGAGACGTTTCTCGCGATCGATGGAGCGGATCGAAGTGACTGATCGTTGTACTGACGTAATGATACAATAATAATAAACGTGCGTGTCCCACTCGTGATTCCGGATAAAAGAGCGGTGCCTGGTGAGGTGCTTCTCTTCTCGACGAGGAGAGGCGCCGTGAGATACCCTATGCGACGGGGACATGGACCGGAAGTGACTGCGTGTCTCGCCGTCATTGCGGTAAACGGCGCGTAAAAGTGCGCGTAACCATCGAGCCGAGCACGAGGTGTATATCCGGGGGTTTTCCCGAATCTATTGTGTGCCGCGAAGAGAATTCCCCTACGGGAGAATCCGCCGCAGAGATTTCGGAGAAGACCGCATTGCATTCGCAGCGAGACTCGGATGCATTTCCGGGAGCGGAATCCCTCGTCCTGGGAAATTCATACGCAGTGTGTCCTTAAAGTGTAGTTCCGAGATCGAGTAAGTGAAATTTAATCTCGCTTTTTCTTCATGTCGCGAATATATGTTATGTGCGCGAATGATAACGTTGAGTATCTTCTGTGAAGTGATAAGGTATACGCAAGTAGAGGGATCTGTACCCTGAATAATTTACAATGGAATCATGGGGTACACCATGATGGATTAGCTATTACTTAAGTCGTACTTTTAGCAAAGCTAATCGACAAGTTTTATTTGTGAATAATAGCTCCGCAATTTTTTCTCGTGAAAAATTAGATCTCTTCGAATGTAATAATTCAACTGGCGCGTGAAAACCGATTAAATGGAATAGAAGAGAGGCGAAACGAAAAATTCTCTAATTTGATAAATGAACATACAAAGATAGTTTATGTTTTATTGATTTTTTAAGTGTTAAAGTCAAGAATTTCTTATGCAATTAGAGTATGAAAAATTAAACAGCATATTTATGACTGATAAAGCTATAGAATATCAAAAATTTTCAACTTTCGATTAATTCTGATATTATTTATATTTTGTTTATAATTATGTTACGTGTTCTAATACAGTTCTTCTTATACAGTTTATAATCATATTTTATAACAAAATAAATTTAATCAATATAGTTTAATTTTGTTTCACCTAAATAATTTTATTAAATCTCATCGAACTCTTTATAAAACATTATTTATTTATAAATACACATATTGTAAGACTATAATGAAACATGTTCAGTGATTAATTAATAATTAATGAAGAGAGTGCAATTGACGTTGCTAATAACCGTGCAATGAGCGTACATATATATATATATCCGCATAAGGGATTAACGTGTGTGCTTAACATCGCACAATAATAGTAACACAATAATTTTGGTGGCATTTTGGTCATAATAATAACAGTAGAAATTATTATATAATAACTTAGCGATGCCAGACAAACCGGCCGATAAATCGAACATATACATTATTTTGTTACATATATTATCGCAAATATACAATGAGCAATAATTTACTCGTGAGAGAGTCACGGAAAATTTTCGCTGGATTTTCTAATTGGGACGACGAGATGATGAGAGAGTAGGAGGCGAAAGTAGGGACTTCGATTTGCACTCTAGACAAAAAAAAAAAAAACGTAATACAATTTATTAGCGATGCCGCGCGAATTTTGGTGCCGAATATGCAATCGACTGTACACGCTGAATATGCAATGCGTTCTCCAACTTATATATCTCTGACGGAAGGATTTTTATTGGACGGTAGCTCTCCCGGACGCTTTTGCGCTCTGTTAGGTAATAAAAATGCTCAAAGTTAATCGATTATCCCTATCGGGCCGAGTTGTAGGGTCTCGTTTTTAGCTTTAAAGTTTAGTTTGGGAGTTTACTTACGGACTTTTTGCGTAAGCGATACGCTGGCTGAAATTATATCAACTGCGCGCAGAGGAAAACCTAGAATATTCAGGACAGGACAGTCTAAAACTTTACTTGGTGAACGTTTGTTATACCAAGTAATCTCTACATCTATCTATTAACGTAAAAAATTTTTTAGTTTAGTACCATAAAGCTTAACAGATCAAGTATTCTTCTAGTTAATTTATCGAAATAACATATTTGCTAATAATAATTAACATTTATTTTATATATATTTTTTTCAATACACACATATATATTTAAGAAAAAATAATATTTGATAAATAAAAAATAAACTTTATAATATAATTAATAGCCTTTAACGCACATATCATATTTGGAAAAAATATTTCACACATGCAGCTCGAAGCGCATTTCGGAGCACTGGAAATAGGTTGGTGTTTCAACGACACAGGATCATGGTTATTGTCGCAATTGCGACACGTGTATAGGAGTTTCGGCTCTCGTGAACAGACGCGAAATAGACGATATTCCGGTAGTCAACTATTCGTCTTCATTCACGAGGCGTAATTTCGTGCGAATTGCCATCAATCGATCGCCAACTGTTCCATTTCGGATTTACGCTCCATATCCCGGAGAAATGGTCAGTTGTATTTTTTTTTTCCGACGCAGATAGAGAGAAAAGAAAAGGAGCGAGACGCGGTGAATTCGATAACGCGGTTTCAGTTCGCGCACATTTGCGTGAAACTTTTCCGTCGATTCGTCCACTTTTCGAGGAATGTTTCCGTAATGAATCGTCCCGCTGGGTGTCGCGAATCCATCAGCGACGCGCGGCGGACTTGTTAAATCGAGTAATTAACAGGTACCCATTATCGGCTTGTTGTGCGGCGCACTCTGGGATGTCAGCGATTCTTCAGCGACACAATTGAATCATCCGCATTACATGCTTTATTCGTTGCCCTTTCTATCGTAAAATAAATCAATTTACGTAACCCATAGGCCATATCCCATAACGCTTGGATTAATACTCAGATGGTATAAAGCGTGCTCATCAAATCGGTACAATTTAACGAGTGCAAATAGTATAGGTATGTATAGACGTGTGAGGGATTAGTTTAGCTTCAATAGAATTTTCGCTTTTCTACGAATATACCTATATATTTTATACGTATCGCTATAAGCAAAAAATTGTCATTCATATGTGTTTCTATTTATCTGATGAAAAGCGGTCGGCGAAATGAATGGATTTGCGAATTCACTGCGGAATGAATACTTTCCGGAAGCCATTGGTGATTCAATATTCTGGAAACGCATATACAGGGCGCTGATGGAAAATTGCGTGACTTCATTAATTTATTTTTTTTCCCAGTATCCGGCAAAAAATGAATTACTGATTTAAAACAAAGTACGTTAAGCATTATTATTTTCACACAAAATGTTTTTTTTTCTCAAATAATAATAAAAGTTATTATTAATACTGATAAAAGCAACAAGACACATTTTTTAAAATGAAAATGAAAACTCCATACAACGGAACATTTTAAAACTGAATTAAATTACACACGAAGAAACTAAGTTAATTTACTAACAAAGTAGGTAAAAGCCAAGGTAACCAAGTAGGTGTAAGTAAAAAGCACAGTTCTACTATTTCCTTAAGACGTGAAATATTTAAATACTAAGAATGATAGAGCATAAAATTCCAGCTCTAATTTGACTTACGTTAAAGACGTACTTTACATTCTCAGGAAAATCTCTGACTGACTAAAAAACTCTTTTCTTTTTTTACATTATTCTACTCACTTTGCCGTGCATTGCAAATTGAATTAATAATAATAATACTGCAAATCTACGTAGGATCATGATCTACTTGTTTCGTAGATTTCGTAGGTCATACCGATGACAATTTGTGAGAACGGATAGCGTGGAAGGCAATTAATTACTTTGATTATAATTAGTCGTGCGTTATGCAAATCGCTTAGAGAGGTCGATGCGCGACCGATAATCGGCCACTTCGCTAATTGCTCTTCGATTTGTTAGTGGTTTTAACGCGTGTGAAATTACGCGAATATAAAACTTAGTTTGATTCTATTAAGTGTGAACATTATATGTAAATGATCATTGAAAATATAATCGTCACTATAAAATCATCACACCGAAAGTACATAAATTGTGACACTTGATGACTTTATTAACAAATTTTACAATTTAATAGTTATTCGATTAAAAAATATTTGATTATAAATGTTATATGTATATAATATTTAAATACAATAGCTGCATTATCCTCACTATGCATATATTTGTAAAGATTAAATATCTATTATAAATATTTTATTTGATTTGTTATATGTTATTTTGTTAAAATAACATTTATATTTATAAATTTATAACACGCAATTATATTATTTATATTCAATTAAAAGATATATTAATTCAATGGGAACAGAGAATATTTTAGACAGATTTATACAGATTATTTATAAATGACATATATTTTCGTTGAGCTTTGTATCACATTGATGTAAAGACATTTTTGGAAATTACACAAGCAACAATTAATAGCAAGTAATTTAATCTCAAACAGTTATAATCCGACATTTCATAATTCTATTTCGATCCCCTCATGGTTAATCGATTATTCACTATAGGTTGCTAATCCCATTCAATATGTATATATCGTTGTGATTATAATTCAAAGCATTATCGAGTCGCTGAGCGAGTAACTTACGGCATGACAGCCAAGGTAATGCAAAATGAGGAGATGATCGATTAAGCTATTTTCAAGTTCCCGATATGGGAGCGCTTGGCAATTCAAATTGCGCGAGATGCCGTGTTTCGTTCTCCAGGATATTCGATGATGATCGACTGTGCTCTGCCATTTTCCTTTATTTGTTAATTCTCGTGCACGAGTGTGTATATATGTGCCAACGGACCGCTATATATGTGTTTTCCTGACCGAATTAGAATCTGTCCGTTCTTCCAACTCGACACGAATATGCGACCCACAAGGGTTGCCTGTGTGTCATAAAAAATTCCATTTCACGCTGGCACGAGAGGAGCAATAATGGGCATACCGACTCCCCTTCGCGCGGATTTCTTTTTTCTTCTCCTTTTCTCCTTGTGACGGAACGGATAAATTACAAGAGTGTCCGTTTTTATACGACATTCCGTCCTGCCCGTCATTTCGATGATCCGCGAGATCGCGCGAGGAATGTCTGTCATTTTCATTAATTTAATGCGCGACTAAATATATATAATCGGCGTTTTATTTATAAAAAAAGTTTACTATATAGATCCTTGATATTTTATTATTCAGCATAAAGGTGGAGACGAAATAGCGTTGCCAACAACAAGAGCAACATTCGTGACATTTTTATACGTACAGTCGTTAACGCTCTCTATTTTTTTTTTTTTTTATAATAGATAGCTATACATTAATACATACATACATCGTGTATCATACGTTAGCGAATATATATACCGACAATGTAAACGGGGATGAAAAGTTATCGCAATGAAAAAGAGAATTCACTTTTTTTTACATCATAAAAATAAATTTACCGCGAGTGAGTGCACAGTTTGCAAATTTATTCGCTTTATGAAAAATCCATAAATTCTGTATCATCGTGATATATCATGTTTCCGACCGCTTGTT